AAAATAAAGTCTACATTATATTATATACATAGAAAGTATGTATGCATAATTATATTGTCTGCCATATATTTTCATAGAAGTATAACTGTATACTTGGGTACCTAAGCACTTACTGTTTCCTAATTTTTTTTTGTATAATCTATTTGCCAAGACCTTTATTAAGAAGTTGTTTATCAACAATTTCTGTATCAATTGCAGAAGTGATCTAATTGTTTGACAAATGAAATTGATAATTATAGATTTTTAATGAAAATATTTATCTTTTTTACGAGGATTCTAACCCTCCCTATGGTTTATAACCACAACCAAATATCAAGCTTTTATTTTGTAAGAAAACTTATTGTTCATGTTTATCTGGTAACCAATGCATATACATTAAGATGGACCAAAGATGGGTGTAGTAATGTAATGTAGGTGAAACTGCGTATGAGGCCCCATATTTCAATAAAATCTTTTATCTACTTGTTTTACAAGATAATTAAGAGAAACTTAAGACAAACGATTACTTATACTTTTTTATGTTAAAGTTATGCAAAAAGATCCGTAAAATAGATTTTTCACGATTCAATGCAAAAAAATTTTTTCGAAAAAAATTCAAGATGGAATAGATTATTGTTAAAAAGTATGACAAATAGCTACGTTCCACCATTTAGTTACAGGACTCACAATGATCCTGCAAACTTTGTTTAAGGCTCTTATTGTAGGTAATATTGATAATTGATCCTTATAATTTGGTAAACAAATTTTGTTTAAGTTTTAAAACTACTTGCAAAAGTGTAAAAAATGTGTTTCGCGAGAAATAATAAGTTATAAGCTCAAATTATCGAAACAAAATTGTTTCTTCAAACTGTGTGATCTTTCGATGTTTCTCTGTAAGACAATACTCATTTGAGTGTATTACAAATTTATTAGTGCCCTTTGATACGTCTTAGAAAGTGTCCGTGATTATTAATCCGTTGGAGGCCAATCAGCACGGAGTTAATGAATACATGTTCAAATGTACTTAAGATTCACTACTTCTTCATTATTGCAATGTTTCTCTGAATATTTAAGCTAGCCTCAATGGGCTAATCCAAATTAGTCACAAACTTTTTAGAGATTTGCTAAAAATGTACTTACAACAAAGTTAATATACGATGTATTATGTCTGTTTATTTCATATATTCAAAAAAATTAGGAATCAAAACGTTTTGTCAGTATGTCAGCTCACTGGTTGAAAAACGAGTGATCGACTCAAGTAAAAGAACAGAGTATTAATTATGACGCGTATATTGACGGTGAAGCACTAGTGGGTTAGGAAAATTGAGTACGTTGAGCTCTATTGGGACTTTTAAACTGTTGTATGAAACAAATGACTACTCTGCTTAGAAAAAGTAAGTTTTTCTTCTTATTGATATTTTCTTATAAAATTTGATGTTAATCATTTTTAGAATAATTTGTTTATTATATTGCGATTCTTTGTCAATGAGTTATGCATAATCCTAATCAAATACATATATTTTCAAGTGTTTAATCGACAGATTCCTGGTTAATTTTATTTATGTGAAATGTTAACTATTACTAGAATTCATGATAAAGGAAAGTACTTTTTATAATAACTTATTGTAGAGAAATTTTTTTTATGATAGTAAGAATTAAATACTTTATAAATAGTTGCAGTCTATATTTTTATTTGAAATTTCAAAATCTTAGGTTTAAATTGTAAAAAAAATAATCAGCCATTAAAAAATTATTTTATTTGTATCAACATGTAAAAATGCATCCAAACAAATTTTTTCGAGACTTTTACAGATAAAATACGAGTTTTAAGTTTTTTTTACAAATAAGTTAGTTCCAACCTCCACCCAAAATCATGAAAGCTGTAAAAGTTTTGACACTAATAGTTTGTAACGAAGTTCAATTCGAAAAACTAAAAATTTTAAGTTGAATCTGAGACAGTTGCGGCGGAATTACCCACATACATATATACACGTTACAAACATTACGTTTAGAAAAGTATAAATTGTAGTGTAAGAGCGTAATTTTTAATTTAATACATCCAATTTTTATCAAATTTGATAGAGTAGCTCAGATAAAAATATTAGGCATTCAAAAGCTCTAGATTTTTATTGCACACAATTTTTGAAATGCAGAAGAGTGCTTCTTTTTAGTATTTAATATCAAAGTCAACGACTAAATACTTATCATATTTTAATAGTAAGTTTTACAGCCAAAAATGTATGTTTTGCAAACTTGCAAGTTAGACACAAATGTTATAAAATAAAATCATTTACCCACTATAAGATAATTAATATAAAACGTCAAATACTTTATTTATTTCAACAAAAGTTTTTATTTCTAATTTTAAGTACATGTTGATATCGAGAAAGTTCGTATAAAAATATTTAATGCTATCTATTTCTTCCTTCAAGTAGATTTTATAAGGACATTTATTTCGCATAGATAGCACCATTCGAACATACAAGGTGAATTATAAATTTTTTCTTCTTACCTGAAAATTCAAGAAATACTGATATGGACCACGTACCGCTTTCTAACAGAAAAGCTCATTGTATATTACAACTTTGACGAAAATTACGTATTTGTCTTTACCTAATGTTTGTAAACAAAAAACCCTGTTAATGTGCAATAATTTTTTTAATAAAGCACAAATTTGTGTAACCTTCTATCCATAAAGTTTATTTTATACAACTAATAAATAGAATCTTATAGAAAACTAACATTAATTATTTAATTGCAAGAAGTATGATAAATCTTGCGTTTTAATTATATTGTGTCTCATAGCTATTGTTACAGCAACCATTATAATTACAATACTCATATGTTATCGATGTTGGAATCAATAGTACTTCAATTAAAATTTTTATGTGTTTCAAATTTATTTTAAATCTAGGTACAGGAAAAAACAAGATACAGTAATTTTTTTGCAGGAATAAAAATGAATGTACTTACTTTCAACTTCTGTAGGTGACAGATCAGCCTGCAAAAAACAAAAATCTTAACTTATAATTTGTTTATATAATTCTTTGATTTTCAACCTTTACGTCTGAAATAACAATTGTAATGTAATTTTATAAAGTTTACCATTACTATATCTGCTTGTCTTTAGATGTCTTCTTGTCAAAAATTAAACTTTGAATGTAGGGTCAACGTTACCCATCTAGTCAATTTATTGGTTTAAATAAGGCAGAGAGTAAGCTGCAACAGAGATATTTGGGACCTCAGATCTATGTTGAGAAAGTACAGTCGGATAAGAAAGTTAACGATTCTTAAAAGCTTATAAATACACACTTAGCATTGAGTTGCTAAGCCTTTTTGAGATCTGTTACCTTCATCAACGGACCATTTTTAGAAATTTTTTGATAACATACAAATTTAAGTCGTAATACAGCTAATGTACATGAAGTTTAGTCCATTGGTCAGAATTCACTTAGTTTACTTTCAATTTTTATATTTTATCACGAGTCATATTTCAAATGTTATACAATACCGTACAAAGTTGATGTGAATATCAAAATAAAGTCTACATTATATATATTTGACAACAAGAAAAAGGACTCCTAGCCACACGTACATCTGCAACTTTTTTTTAATAACTCTTTAATTTAAAAAAAATTCTTTTCTTTGTAAAGTATTCTTTGTTCCTTGTGTTATGTATATATTTATTTATAGGAGAAGGAGTCAATCTAAGTAGTAATTAACTTAGTCATACAAAAAGTTTGCTTAAAAGTTGAAACTATTTTATTAAATCAAATTTAGTTTGGCTCAGTTTGAGTTTCATTCTAAAAGAAAAGTATTTCCAGGTGTAATGTTAAATAAACTTTTTTTGATTCCAAAAATTGGATCACTTAGTATTGGTTGTAATATTGGCATAGTCAGATTGTTTGCCATTTTATAAAAAAGACTTGGTTTTAATAACTGAAGGTGTGATAAAACTTAAGTCACCAAACGTAGTTTTTTAAATATTCCATATTTAAACATTTAAATGTTTACCAAACAGTCGTAAGGGAAAAAGTAAAGCTGACCTCTTATGGATATTGAGGTAACGAATAAAAATTATCTCCTTATTTTAGTCGTATCAATATAGTATGAACTTTACAACTTGTTGACAATTAATCAGTAGAAGGAGACAAACAAGTTCTCGTTAGAACCAGTCTTGTTTTCACGAGAATCTTGCTTTTTGAAAAATAGTTTGAGACAGATAAGTAATTTACGTACAACAAGGTTAGAAATTTATGAGTATGTGGTATAAAAAGATTTATTAGTTTAAAGAAATTTTTCTGTAAAATATACTAATGTGTTGTTTATTTCTCGCGTAACATTTAAATACCTTTTTAAATCTATTCTTATACTGCGGCAATAGTTTGTGATCGTTTAAAAAAATTTAATACGCGTAACGAGTATGTTCCTTTGGAATCATAAAAAAATTATCAGGAACCGTTTCAAAACGCGCTTAGTAAATTCCTAATACCTATGTATTTCTTTTAATATTACTTAAAATCTTTTTAAATTGAAAAAAATATGTTAGAACTTTTATAAGCCTTACGAACCTTTAAACCATAAAACAATACACTGAAAGGGTCCCCCCCATTAAGCACATCAAAATGCCCTAAATTAAATTTTTTTGTTTTAACAGTGTCAAACTGTTTTTTAGGGCTAAAAATAAGGGGTCAACTGGGTCCGAGACCAAAAAATTTTTTTCCCTTGCTAGGGACCATAAAAACCGTGTTTTTTACATTTCATTTCTTTTCTCGGCGTCTAAACATAAAAAAGATCTTAAAAAATTCAGCAATATAGTAAATATTATTTTTTTCATATTGAATTTTTTTCAAGGTCATCTAAGTACAACATTACCTAAAAACAAATTTTCTAAGATTTTGATCGCAATTTTGACTATAATCCAATAGAGGTGCAGGCGACCTTATTTATCTATCTTGTGAAACAAGAAAAAACACAACTTTCACGGATTTTTTAAAATTTTTTTAATTGGTGCGACATGACCTAAAATTTAAAAAACCGATTAATTTTACGTTTTTCAGCTACTTAAGAGCCTCCTTTAATTTTAATCAGAATTCAAATATCCTTAGTAAATTTTGCAGAGAATAAAACTTTTAAAAAATGCGTTACATTGGAACATTTTTTTTTCTAACCTTCACAAAATGAAAAATTACAAAAAAAAGCGACTATTTGTTTCTCATCTTGGGTTCTTACAATCCAAATAATTTAAAAAACTTACGTGTAGAGAAAATGTAAATTTTCTTGCGTAGAATTATTTCCAAGGTTACCCACGGTTGACATAACCTCTAAAAAAATTATTTAACCTTTGAAATGCAATTTTGGACATGATCCAATAAAAGTGCCGGCAAGTAGATATGTTTATCTTTTAGAGCTGGAAAAATACAACTTTAATATATTTTTTCATATTTCGGTAGGTGGTGGAACTAACCTACAAATCCCAAAAACCGTTATTTTCACCTGATTTCAACATGTTATTAATTTTATCGGTTTTTAAAAGACTAATTCTTGATGGATTGATGTTTTTGCGACAATTTGTACTTTGTTAAATTTTTCAGAGTTTTTCAAGAGGTAGAACTAACCACAAAACTCAAAAAAACGTTTCTTATTTATTCTAGAATACCTTTTTTAAGTGTTACATAAAATTTGCGGTATTGCCTATGACACATGACAATATTCACTTTTTGTACGTTCCCGTTCTTACAAATTCCCCCAAAAACGTATAGCCATAAAGCATAGCGAGACAAAATATTTGGAACATATAGTTCATCCGTTTGTACGTACGAACCATAAAGGTATTAGAATATTGTAAGCGATCCCCATCTTACTCTGTACTGTGCGATACTGCCACGTGCGAGAAAAAAAACTGTGAGAAGGCCTCCTGAGAAACCTGTAGTACTATACCTATATATATGATTAGACATGTAGTAATAGGGAGCCCTCTTGCAGCCTTTTCTCTCGCACGTGGCAGTATCGCACAGTACAGAGTAAGATAAGGATCGATTACAATATTCTAATACCTCTATGGTTCGTACGTAGAAACGGATGAATTATATGTTCCAAATATTTCGTTTCGCTATGCTATATGGCTATACGTTTTTGGGGGAATTTGTATGAACGGGAACGTACAAAAAGTGAATTTTGTCATGTGTCATAGGCAATATCGCAAATTTTATGTAACACAAAAAAAAGGTATGATAGAATAAATTAAAAACGTTTTTTTGAGTTTTGTGGTTAGTTCTACCACTTGAAAAACTCTGAAAAATTGGAAAAAGAACAATTTGTTGCAAAAACATAAATCCATCAAGAATCAGTCTTTTAAAAACCGATAAAATTAATAACATGTTAAAATCAGGTGAAAATAACCGTTTTTGAGATTTTTAGGGTAGTTCCACCACCTACAAAAATATGAAAAAATATATTAAAGTTGCATTTTTCCAGCTCTAAAAGATAAAAATATCTACTTGTCTGCATTTTTATTGGATCATGGTCAAAATCGCGTTTCAAAGGTTAAATAATTTTTTTAGAGGTTATGTTGACCGTAGGTGACATTGGAAAAAATCCTACGCAAGAGAATTAACATTTTCTTTACACATAAGTTTTTTAAATTATTTGGATTGTAAGAACCCAAGATGAGAAACAAATAGTCGCTTTTTTTTGTAATTTTTCATTTTGTGAAGGTTAGAAAAAAAAATGTTCCAATGTAACGCATTTTTTAAAAGTTTTATTCTCTGCAAAATTTACTAAGGATATTTGAATTCTGATTAAAATTAAAGGAGGCTCTTAAGTAGCTGAAAAACGTAAAATTAATCGGTTTTTTAAATTTTAGGTCATGTCGCACCAATTAAAAAAATTTTAAAAAATCCGTGAAAGTTGTGTTTTTTCTTGTTTCACAAGATAGATAAATAAGGTCGCCTGCACCTCTATTGGATTATAGTCAAAATTGCGATCAAAATCTTAGAAAATTTGTTTTTAGGTAATGTTGTACTTAGATGACCTTGAAAAAAATTCAATATGAAAAAAATAATATTTACTATATTGCTGAATTTTTTAAGATCTTTTTTATGTTTAGACGCCGAGAAAAGAAATGAAATGTAAAAAACACGGTTTTTACTGTCCCTAGCAAGGGAAAAAAATTTTTTGGTCTTGGACCCAGTTGACCCCTTATTTTTAGCCCTAAAAAACAGTTTGACACTGTTAAAACAAAAAAATTTAATTTAGGGCATTTTGATGTGCTTAATGGGGGGGACCCTTTATTATACTTTAGCATTTTGGAAGCAAGGTACGATATCATTTATAAAACACAGGGTTGTTTACATATTCTCCAACTTATAGTACAAATCTGTCGGTCGTTTTTATATTAAAGTACTGCAACTATAATTTAACGCAGTTTTTTTAATTATTACGTTATTCCAATCTAATCCTCAAAACTTCATTTTGCGATTTGGCTTATTTAAAAATGAAAATTCCTTTCAAAAATTTTTTTAAGAAATTCGTGAAGAAAAATTGTTTATGTTTAAATGCATTGTCTTTAAGTTTTTTAACTAACTCAATATGTTAAAAGCTTTTGATTAATTACATCTTTCCAAATTTTTGAAGCCATTAGTACTTTTTTTGTAAGTGTTTTTAACCAGTAATCAGTTTATAGCAGTAAATTGTGTTGATGTAAGCTGTTTTTTGCGTTTAATTAATAAGGTCTGTCCCGGATGGATTAAGCTTATATTTTTAAAGTCAAATATGTGAAAGTTTGTCTGTCTCATGTATGTGTAGTAAAGTAAAAAAAATGTGTTTGAATGAGAATGACGAGCGTTGTCATATACAAAAGATGTTGTTGATTTTGGTTAAAAAACGTTCAGATTTGCCACCAACTTCAATGACTCTGAGTCACATTTTGTGTGACAGAAATTAATATCCTTAAAATTCGATAATTTCCCAAAGACGTTTCTTTCTTTGCGCAAAGCTGATTTTTTCAGCTACATTTTGGTGCCAAAACCAAGGACTTATAGTTATGTCCGGAATTTGCGCAAGACAAAACATGTGAAAAAAGAAAGCAAGCAGCTCCAGAGAACACATCAAAAATACAGCACTGCAGCAATAATGACAGCAGTGTCTACAGCTGTGACCGTGACATTGGAAGCAACAGCATCGTTGGTGCAGAGGACACGCCACTGCCACTAACTCCTACATGATCTCGT